TAGGTGTCCACCTTGAAACTGTACTGATTGTACAGATCTTATGTGCTGTTGAGGGAAGATGTGTGTGAAGAATCCATGTTTTTACAGACATGAATGTAAACCGTATGCGAATCTTGACTGGTACGTGGAGGCATACAACGGTGGGGCAATAATACTAGTATTTAAAGTTCATTACAGACTACGCCACTTAAGCCAGTAGCTCAAAAGGCCTTGTGTAGTTAATACATCCACACTCTCACTAGCTGCTTGTTAGCATGCTTGCTAGTCATGTTAGCAATTGTATCAGTGCAGCTGGAGATATGGCTGTTACATCCCCTTCTATAGGGCAAAATGATGGATGGTCAAGTGACACTTCATCCAACTTGTCATAAAATGGGCAACTTATAGAGCATAACTGAATGGTCTCACCAAAACAACTACCACGTCCTGCAGTTATGGTGTTGTCCTTGTCGGGGATGCATTATCATTTACACTACAAACAGTATGTGGTCTAATGCCCACCACCTTGGCAAGTGGTTTCACGATGGGATTACAATTCGTCTTTGTGGTCAATCAAACCTGTATTTAGTGCTGTCCACTTGTGATCAGATCACCCAAGCCACATGTTAATACCAGGTGTAAACAGGCTCTCAGTTTACACAGAGAGATAAATAGGTTATTCTCCTCCAGTGTTGCAAGTTTTCCAGTCTTTTTTTTTTTTTCATAAAAATGCACTGAAAGATCCTGCAATAATCTCAGCAATGGTCTGTCTTCTGCAGCAGATAGATAATTGTGTTAACCATCATTTTTCTTAATCCCTTAAAGTGATAGTTCAGGTTTTTGGACATGAAGTTGTGTGAAACGCTGACCATCTGTAGCTCTGATGTGATGGTGTCACTACTCTCAACGAGCCTCCTGCTCTGAGAAATCGCCCGTAGCTTACCGGAGAAAAAGTAGTTCTGAAGATGTACGGGGGACACGTAACCAAAAGGTTTTAAGCTACAAAAAAGTATGCATGTGTTTTGTTAGACTATTTCAATATTTTTAAAACATCCCCGCATTACGTCAGACCTTGCTATCAATTGGGACTATTTTCTGGCCAGTATCACTCTGCCGTGCAGGCCCGCAAAACAGCTCGGCAACAGAAATGAATAAGACAGTTCATCACCATGCCATGCAGGTGCACAGGATAGCAAAGGCTAACGAAAACTTCATCGGCTGTTTCCAACAGAGAACCAGTAGGCTATTATTAGTGAGATGTACTAGCCCTATATATACCTACTACTACAGTGCAAACACCGGCTCAGGCACACGACACACCCTCGTCAGCTGCTGTAGGTAAACAGAGGAATACCAAAATGGTGCGAACTTGTGATTTCCCCAGCTGTGGGAATAAAAACATTGCCAGCTCCCAATTCCATCGGTTTCCTGTTACAGATGTAACCCGTAGGCAACTTTGGCTAACTCACCACCAGAACAAAGGAGAGACTGGTGGTAATCACATATGAATTCACATTTCTATGTGATTGATTACACGGATTTAGCAGTTAAGTGCAACACACACCGCCGCCGGCGCGGCGCTGTGGCCGTCAAGGGCCGCCCCCCAACACACGCTGGCAGCAGCACCGTCAACATGTATTTCCCACCCCAGCCCGCTAGGTGGCTGTACCTACACTAGTTGCCAACGGTTGCTAACTGCTAGTAACAGAAGAAGAAGAGGCAACAACAACTTGAATTTCACGGGTGAGTTTCTTATCAAAGTCGTCTTATTAAAAATTTGAAACAACCGGAGTTGATCCTACGAGACAAGACGTACATAAAAGGCTTTTCTCGTAGCGCCGCCATGAGCGCCGGCCGCGCTGGAAATAGAGCAGTGGGCTGAAGCAGAGCGGCGCGGCGCGTCGGCTGGCGCCAGTGTGGGTTGGTTCATAGCATATAATGGAGGCGGGCGTTTTGACGCGCGGCGTACGGCGGCGGTATGTGTTGCACTTTAGCCTAATATAATAAACTAAATGCCGACGGTAAAACGAGGCCGTGTATAATGTACTCTCCACAACACAACAGGCTATTAGTTCAATCAAACATTTTGTTTTACAGACAATCAGTTACAGACATCGTTATAAAGACTGGTACTATGTAATATATCTCTCTTTGGGCACAGCAGTGCGGAAATTGCGTTTTCTCTGTCCGTCGGGATCTGTGGGCAGCTGAAGTGAGCCTGACATACGCGCAGTTGCTTCACCCTCGCCGGCTTGGTGGCGATGTTCATCCCAGTTGACACAAGCCAAAGTTGCCTACGGGTTACATCTGTAACAGGAAACCGATGGAATTGGGAGCCGGCAATGTTTTTAGTCCCACAGCTGTTAGCACCATTTTGGTATTCCTCTGTTTACCTACAGCAGCTGACGAGGGTGTGTCGTGAGCCTGAGCCGGTGTTTGCGCTGTAGTAGTAGGTATATATAGGGCTAGTACATCTTCTTCCTCACTAATAATAGCCTACTGGTTCTCTGTTGGAAACAGCCGATGAAGTTTTCGTTAGCCGTTGCTATCCTGCGCACCTGCACGGCGTGGTGATGAACTGTCTTATTGATTTCTGTTGCCGTGCTGTCTTGCGGGCCTGCACGGCGGAGTGATACTGGCCAGAAAATAGTCCCAATTGATAGCAAGGTCTGACGTAATGCGGGGATGTTTTAAAATTATTGAAATAGTCTAACAAAACACATGCATACTT